TGCTTTGGTGGTCATCTTCCAGGATTCTATAGCCTCTGGAACAGTCCCTGCAGATTGGAAGGTGGCTAATGTCACTCCAATATTCAAAAAGAGAGACAGAGATAACAGGGAATTATAGACTGGTGAGCCTAACATTGGCAGTGGGGAAAATTCTTGAATCCATTCTCAAGGATTTTATAGCAGAGCATTTAGCAAGCAGTGGCAGGATCAGACAGAGTCAGCGTGGATATATGAAGCGGAAATCATGCCTGACAAATCTGTTGGAATTCTATGAAGATGGAACTAGTAGAGTTGACAAGGGGGAGCCAGTCGATGTAGTATATTTGGACTTTCAGAAAGCGTTTGACAAAGTCCCGTATAAGAGATTAATATGCAAGATTAAAGTGCATGGGACTGGGGGGTGGGGGAGAAGTGTATTGAGATGGATAGAAAATAGAGAGGAAATAAAGAGTAGGAATTAATGCGTCCTTTTGAAATTGGCAGGCAGTAACTAGGGGAGTGCCACAGGGATCGGTGCTGGGACCCCAGGTATTTACAATTTATATCAATGATTTGGATGAGAGAACAAAATGTAACACCTCCAAGTTTGCAAATGATACTAAGTTGGGTGGGTGGGTGAACAGCGACGATGATGCAGAGATCCTTCAGCATGATCTTGACAGGTTGGATGAGTGGGCAAATCAATGGCAGTATAATTTGGATAAATGTGAGGTTATTCGTTTCAGAAACAAAAACAAGGCAGCAGATTACTACCTGAATGGTTGTAAATTGGGAGAGAGGAATATGCAGCGAGACCTGGGTGTCCTTGTGCACCAGTCGCAGAAAGTAAGCACGCAGGTGCAGCAGGCGGTAAAGGCGGCAAATGGTATTTTGTGAGAGGTTTTGAGTACAGGAGCTGGGATATGTTGTTGCAGTTATACAGCGCCTTGGTGAGGCCACACCTAGAACATTGTGTACAGTTTTGGTCTCCTTTCCCGAGGAAGGATGCTCTTGCTCTCAAGGGAGTGCAGCAAAGGCTTACCAGGCTGATTCCGGGGATGGCCGGTCTGACGTAAGGGCGGTTTCTATGATTCTATGACGTACGAGGAGAGATCGACTAGTTTGGGATTGTTTTCACTGGAGTTCAGACGAAGGAGGGAGGATCTTACAGAGACTTAAAATTCTGACAGGACTGGACAGGATAGATGCAGGTAAGATGTTCCCGATGGTGGGGGTGTCCAGAACCAGGGGTCACAGCATGAGGATTCAGGGTAGACAATTTAGGACGGAGATGAAAAGATATTTCTTCACCCAGAGAGTGCTGAGCCTGTGGAATTCATTACCACAGGAAGTACTTGATGCCAAAATATTGAATGTATTCAAGAGGCAACTAGATATAGCACTTGGGACAAATGGGATCAAAGGTTATGGGGAGAAAGCAGGATTAGGCTGTTGAGTTGGACCATCAGCCATGATCATGACAAATGGCGGAGCAGGCATGAAGGGCCAAATGGCCTCCTCCTGCTCCTATCTATGTTTCTGTGTTTCTACTCAGTGATTCTGCATTGTTGTGTATCTCGAAGGCTACCTTGGAGAACGGGTACCCAAAGATCGGAGGCTGAATGTCTTTGGCCGCTGAAGTGTTCCCAAACTGGGAGAGAGGATTCCTGTCTGGCGATTCTTGCGTGGTGTCCATTCATCTGTTGTCCTAGCATCTGCATGGTCTCGCCAATATACCATGCCTCAGGGCATCGTTGCCTGCAGCATATGAGATAGACAACATTGTCCGAGTCACACGAGTATCTGCCATGTACGTGGTGGGTGGTGTTCCCACGTGTGATGGTGGTATCCATGTCGATGATCTGACATGTCTTGCAAAGGTTGCCATGACAGGGTTGTAGAGTGTTGTACTTATGTTGTCCTGAAGGCTGGGAAGTTTGCTGCCAATGATGGTCTGTTCAAGGTTTGGCGGTTTAAAGGCGAGAAATGGAGCAATAGGGATGACTGTATCAGGCAATGGGACCCTGTGTGAGAACCTGTATGGCTGTGTCGAGGGCATCTTGAAACCCATTGTACAAAGGAACCCTCAGCTTCTGTCACAACACTACAGATTTCTTACAGGCACTCAGCACCACAGACCAGTCAAATCACAATGGACGCTTTGGCACTCTATACCAGCATCCCCCACAATGATGGCATCACTGCAACAGCCTCAGTACTCCATGCCAACTGCCAATTTCCAGACACCATCCTACAACTCATCTGCTTCATCCTCAACCACAACATTTTCACCTTCAACAACCAGTTCTTCACCTAGACATATGGAACAGCCAAGGGGGCCACATTTGCATCCCAATATGTAAACATTTTCATGCAAAAGTTCAAGCAAGACTCTTTTGCTTCACAGGACCTCCGACCAACCCCGAACGCTAGATACATTGACGACATTTTCTTCTTTGGACTCATGGTGAGGAATCACTGAAGCGATGACATTGTGATATCAACAAGTTTCATCCCACCATCAGACTTACCATAGATTACTCCTCAGAATCAGTCTCATTCTTGGACTCAAGCATCTCCATCACGGGCAAACACCTCATTACCTCACTCTACCGCAAGCCCACAGATAACCTCACGATGCTGCACTTCTCTAGCTTCCACCCTAAACATATTAAAAAGGCCAACCCCTACGGACAAGCCCTATACATACACAGGATCTGCTCAGATGAGGAGGAATGCAATGGACACCTGAAGATTTTGAAGGATGCCCTCATAATAACGGGATACGATGCTCAACCCATCGATCGCCAGTTCCAATGTGCCACAGCGAAAAGCCACAACGATCTCTTCAGAAAACAGACAGGATATGGCTGATACAGTATCCTTTGTTGTCCAGTACTTCCCCGAAGTGGAGAGACTACGCCGTGTTCACCACAGCCTTCAACACGTCATCGATGATGAGCATCTCACCAAGATCATCCCTGTTGCTTCACTTCTTGCCTTCAATCCGCCAAACCTTAAAATACACCATAGTTCGCAGCAAACTGCCCAGCCTTCATGACAACATCAACTACAACACCAACAACCCTGCCACGGCAACCTCTGGAAGACATGACAGATCATCAAAACAGATACTACCATCACACGTGCCAAAACCACCCACCACGTACAACAGCAGATACTCATGTGACTTGGCCAATGTTGTGTCTCTCATATGCTGCAGGCAAGGATGACCCGAAGCACAGTATATCGGTGAGACCATGCAGATAATACGACGGATGAATGGACACCACACAACAATCACCAGACAGGAATGTTCCCTCCCAGTCAGGGAACACTTCAGCAGTCAAGGACATTCAGCCTCCAATCTTCGGGTAAGCATCCTCCAAGGTGGCCTTCGAGATACACAACAATGCAGAATCGCTGAGCAGAAACTGATAGCCAAGTTCCATACCCACGAAGACGGACTTAACCATGATCTTGGGTTCATGTCACACTACATGTGATGCCACCATACTGTTCTGTATCTATAGCACCTTCCTTATTGTCCTGTTTTGACATCGTCACCTGGATAAATTGCTATGATCTCTCTATCTTAATTAGTTTGTGCAGTTTAGAGTACTTATTGCTTTGGTTAGACCCTCAACATGCGACTCCTATACTTGTGTTATTCCAGTTAGTTAGTTTGTCTCCAGCACCACCTTCTTTTTAATATTTTATAATTATCTCTCTGCACCATTTAATCGGTTAATAGGTCATCCCTTTGTTTGTTATTCAGCTGATGACACTTTACACACACCGTCTAACACTCTTGGTCACCTGCAGAGACTTATTATTTGACACTCCACTCACACCAGTTATATGATCTCTGTCTATAAATTGTGTCTGTGTGCTCTTCTCTCATACTTCACCTGACGAAGGAACAGTACTCAGAAAGCTTATAATTTCAAAAAAAAAAACACCTGTTGGACTGAAACCTGGTGTCATAGATCATAGAATCCCTACAGTGTGGAAACAGGCCCTTCGGCCCAACAAGTTCACACTGACCCTTGGAGCATCCCACCCAGACCCATCCCTCTATAACCCATCCAAGCTACACATCCCTGAACATTTAGCATGGTCAATCCACCTAACCTGCACATCTTTGGACTGTGGGAGGAAACCAGAGCACCCCAAGGAAACCCATGCAGACACGGGGGAGAATGTGCAAACTCCACACACATGGTACTTCTCAAATCGTCATTAATCTGTGGAATTCATTACCCCAGAGGGTGGTGGATGCCAGGACACTGAGCAACCTTGAGGAGAAGGTAGGCAGTATCAGTAACGGGTTGAAGGGTTATGGGGACTGGGCAGGACAGTGGAGTTGAAGCCAAGATGAGATCAACCATGATCATATTGAATGGTGGAGCAGGCTCGAGGGGATGAATTAACTGCTCCTGGTTCTTATCTTCCAAGGTAAAAGCTAAAAATCAAATTTGTTGTTATTCTTTTGATGACACGTTAAAAAAAGTCGTTTTATGGATTCTCCGAATCACATCATACTAATAGCTAATAGAAGCATGTTGTCAGAGCTTTACAATGGATCTGTCTAGCTTATCTGTGGCTCCTCATCAAACTGCAATATTATCCTTTCAGAAACATACATAACAAAACTGACTTTCTCCAGCACTAGTAACAGTGGTTAAATGCATCAAAGGTGAAGTAGAACACAAGACAAATCATTTCCTTAATAGTGGGTTTATTCACAAATGCAGCCTTACAGACATCTGCCTCTGCTTCAGACCAATGGCCAACTACCTCTCCATGTCTGATTGCCGACTTTAATCAAACAATTCCGTCACCAATGTTTCTTTACCGATATAATCAAAGACCATTAACATCCATCCCTCACTTATGAACCTCTATCCATCTATGTTAAAACTAAACAAGTGCAATTATCAGAGTATCAAAAGCTCTTCTCTCTAAGGAAGGAAAATGATAGCAATGAACAGTAGCTTATTCTGGTTAAAGCTATTTACCTTTTTAGTTAATGAGTCATCAGAGTCTGATGGCATTCGTGTGGAAACATGGAAAATGACTTCCACAGTGGAGGTAGCATAGTAAGGTGCAGTTTGTCCTGTACTGCCATTACGTTGCAGACCACCCATAAAACCACAATGCGTAGAAAGGTCAATCTAGGGAATGATAAGTGAAATGATTTCAGAAACAAAGTCAACAATCTCTTTCATATTTTCTTAATAAAAAAGTAAGCTTTGTAAAAAAAAAAACACTTTATTGATTTATCACTACTACTATTCCAAATATTTACTGACAGCACACCTATTTCAGTAATTCTAACAGTTTTAAGAGAGAACTTCTTTCCGAATTTCAATGGTTTTTTTTATTTTTAACCCACTAACTAGAGATTACCCATCCACCCAAATGAGAAAAACAACATTTCGTTTAATAGAAATGAAACCTATATGTCCAATTATAAACCTATTTGTCAATACTGACGGTATTGCGCCTTTGAGAGGGATTTGTTCTGTGCCGTTTCTCTTGCAGACTGGTATTATCAGCTTGGAGACAGAATGTCCGCTTCAGAGGCAGTGTGTAAACAGCTTTGAGCTCCTTGATTTTGTGTTTCCGGAATTTCAGAGGTGAGGTGAGAGTGACAGCCCTCGAAGACTGCATTCGACCAAGTGTGGCATCAGGGAGCCCTAACAAAACCAGAATCAATTGGTATCAGAAGGCAAACTTTCCACTGGTTAGAATCATACCCAACACATAGGAAGATGGTCACAGTCGATGGAAGTCAGTCAACACAGTTCCAGTACATCTCTGCAGGAGTTCCTCAGGGTAGTGTCCAAGGCCCAAACATCTTCAGTTGCTTCATCAATGACCTCCCTTCCATCACAAGGTCAGAAATGGGGATGTTCACTGATGATTGCATAATGTTCAGCACCATTTGTGACTCCTGAGATATTGAAGCAGTCCATGTTCAAATGCAACAAGATCTGGACAATACCCAGTCTTGTGCTGACAAGTGGCAAGTAACATTCATGCCATACAAATGCCAGGCTATGACCATTACCAAGAAGGGGCAATCTAACTGCCGCTGTTGACATTCAATGTTACCATCACTGAAACCCCCACTATAAACATCCTGGGGGCTATCATTGACCAGAATCTCAACTGCACTCACCATAGTGGCTACAAGAGCAGATCAGAGGCTAGAAATACTGCAGCAAGTAACTTACCTCCTGACTCCACAAAGTGGACTTGTTGGGCTGAAGGGCCTGTTTCCACACTGTAGGGAGTCTAAGTCACCTACAACAAGGTACAAGTCAGGCACGTGATGGAATGCTCCCCACTTGCCTGGATGACTGCAGGCCCCAACAACAATCAAGAAGCTTGACATCATCCAGGATAAAGCAGCCCACTTGACAGGCACCACATCCACACCCTCCACCACCGACACTCAGTAGTTGCACTGTGTACTATTGACAAGATGCACTGCAGAAATTTGCCAAAGATCTTCAGATAGCACCTTCCAAACCCATGATCACTTCCGTCTAGAAGGACAAGAGCAGCAGATACATGAGAACACCACCACCTTCAAGTTCTCCTCTAAGCCACTCATCATCCGGTCTTGGAAATATATAGCCATCCCTTCACTTTTGCTTGGTCAAAACACTGGAATTCCCTCCCTAAGGGTAATGTGGATCAACCCACAGCACATGGACCGCAGAGGCTCAAGGTGGCAGCTCACCATCACCTTCTCAAGGGCAGCTAGAGATGGGCAATAAATGTCGGCCAGCTAGCAATGACCACATCCTTCAAAAAAAATGTAAATAATTAGGCAAAAGAAGCATGAATGGATGGAGTCAGGCTCACACAGACCTATAGTTTTTGGAGTTGCTGTCAAACCTGCTAAATATAGCTCTTGCTGCTGCAGCTAAAAGTTTGAGTACTTTTTATGCTGCGAGATTGCTTATTTTGGTGTTCCTTTCTCCTGGACTGAAGATTGCATGTGGGAAACTTTGTTTTGCTGAATTTGACTGTGCCATGGATGTTTTAATGGGCTGTTGCTATACTGGAACAGCTGATAATTAGTACTTAAGTCATATATTCTTTTGTTAATTATTTCAATAGAGTTAAAGTTAATTTTTTTTTGTTTTTATTTTAGCTGAGGTGTAAGAAGAGAGCGTATTTGGTGAAAGCCTAGCAATCGAATCACATCTGGAACATAGAGCCTTTAAGATAAAACTGAGGGTCCAGGCTATCTCCTTTGATTGTTTTTTTTTTTGAGGGGGTGGTCTTGTCCTTAACATTATGTTTTAGTTCCAATCTGTCCATTAAGCCAATTCACAAACAGCAGAGGCTCCACCTAAACACGTGAATAGAGGGCACACAAAGACTGCACACATCCATTGTAGGAGGTTCCTTAAAAATTACATAACGTAGTAAAGTTTTAGATGAATTAATTACAAAAGGCATGTACACTTTCCTATTTTCCAAAATGGGTAATCAAGATATTACCTCTTAAATTTGTTGCACAAAGCAACTGAGATTCTGGAAGCATACAGCACTTGCACAACAGAGCAAAACATCTCAGGACCTAGCTAAGCACTTGGTCAGATCTTAACACCATAAATCAGGTACTTTTTGGGCATGGAACAGGAGCACTGATGCAGAAGCACTAGTTTAATTAGAGGAAGAAGGCAGAAAACAGGAGGAACATGAATGGTGTGACAATGACTTTCACTGGTTCAATGAAGGCATGAGGAACATAAAACAAATTTTCTGTTTGAGGACTTTTTGGATGAGCCTGCAGTGGACTATTCAAGGACTTGGTCAGGTAGACCAAAACTTGAAAGTAAAACCAAACTAGTCTAACTAATTTAAGAGCTTGATCTGTGGTTGGTTTGTGGAATTGCGATCAGTTGTGAATGACAAAGATCATCAACTTGATGACAACTATCTGATTGCTTCCTGGACAGCTGAACAGCTTGTGGGTATGAACGATACAGTCAGAATCCCTTGGACTCCTACAAGAGGAGGTGGTGTCTTTCACTCTCCAGTAAAATATCAAACTAAAAAAAAAAAAGACAGTTAATTATTCCCACTAGTTCTCTGTGCTGCTGATTTTACCCAATAGGTTGGGGACTGTATAATTTGTGAATCCTGAGGACTGGTACCATTTAACTTTTCCCCAGTATTTTTCTGCCCCATCATCCATAACAATGTATTTTTACCAGTCTATGTCCATCTGTGTACACAGTGCGTCTTTAGAAGTGACATGAGTTTTAACTATTACCATGTGTTGACAGTTCATTGTTGTTTATCTATGTTTAGAGACTATTTATTTGTAAGGAGTAGTTCTTGTTAATTCAGTGCTTTCTGTTAACTGGAGTCTTATCAAACAGGTAAATTGAGGACTTTGCATACTTTGATCAAATTAACTTTTGGGATGATCCCAGAAAAAGCAGGGCTTGAATTCCAGGGTACTATCCCAGTGAGGCATAACACCTTCTTTAACTATCAAGTGTGTAAGTTACTCGCTCAGTACTGTTATAGAGTGAGTTCCAAGAATTCAATCCAACCACAATGAAGGAAACAGTGATTTATTTCCAAATTAGAGTGGTGTTCTACTTGGAGGGGAACTTACAGGTGGTGGTATTTCACTCACATTCTGCCCTTATTCTGCTACATAGCAGAGGCTGTAGGCTTGGAAGGGATTGGTGAATAGGCCTTGGTGATTTGCTGCAGTGCGTATTTTATACAGTGCAGACACTGTATAGGTGGGGTAAGGAGTGAATGCTTAAACTGGTGAATATATAGCCTTCCCACTCTCCACAGACTGAGATCCGCATAGGGTGTCATCCTGTTAATGTTAATCCAGTGGTGGACATGAAGTGTTTCAACCAAACTCTGGCATTTGTTTTAGACTCCCGGGGAGAGAGGGAAATTCCTTGATTAAAGATACTTAGCACTATTGAAACTGATCTCCCTCAGGAATGGAGGGCATCTAAGTGAAAGCCACCACACTGCCATGCTGTTGACACCCCATTAACATACAAAAAGCACCCCCCCCCCACCAAAACAATATATCTAGCACATATCTGGTCCCTCCTCAACGAGGCGCTTTGGACTGGTGTGGTACCAGCAACAGCCCCTTCTTCCTGCGTGATACTGCTGAATACAAATGAGCTGCTCATCTGACTGGCCAGCAGTTCTCAGTGGGTGGAACTTTTGGCACCGGAATCTTTAATCCTGGCTTTGTTAGTACATGACACGCAGACCTTCGCAACAGGGAATGTAGGACTCTCCAGACTCCCGTCACCTTCACATGATTCTAACTACCAATTCTAACGTTATCATAGAGGGAAAACCATATACAAAAGAATGAAGACGGTTGTGTTTGGACACTGCTCGGAGGAATTCCAGCAATGATATCCTGGGGCTGAGATTACTGGCTTCCAGCAATCTAAACCCTCTTCCTTCCAGGTCCAAGTCAATGGAACGCTTGGTTCCTGATTTCCACTGACATCAAATTCATGAAGGTTCCTTGATATCACATCCAATCAAATTCTGCCTCAGTGTCAACAATTGTTACTTTCACCTCTGGAATTCAGTCCTTTGGTTCCATGCTTGGAAAAATGCTGTGACTAGGCCTGAATCTAAGTGAACCTGGCAGACAAGTTGGTGGTGAGAGAATGCTGCTTGATAGCACTGTCAATAACTCTTTCCACTTGTATTTTATCTGAGTTGATCCTGCTGTTTAAACTTCTATCTCACAATCATGACTCTTATAGGATCTTAGCACAATTCTTGCATATATTCAGACTGCATTTAAGCTGCAGTTTGAGGGCAAGGGAGAATTGAGACACAGTGTGCATATATAATTCTTGCAAGATTTTGGATCACCAAGTATCAGCTACACGTTCTTTTCAGTGTTAGGACTGTCCTGATGAGTCTAAGAAACATTTTTTAGAGGGTGAAGTAATAAATATGTAAAGTATCCGTTTTAATAAACTTCAATGAATCAAAAGAATTGCTGAAAACATTTACCAATATAATTTATTCACACAATTTGACATTAAAAAGTATTTTAAAATATGAGGAGTTAATATACAATAATAAAATTTCTTAAAATATTCTCAGAGAATGTACGTAGAGGGAAGAAAAATTCTATACCTCCCAGCCAAGCCCAGAGACAAGGTTTTCATATGCTTGGCTTCCTCCAGTGTTGGATAGAATTGAATATTTGTCTTCCTGTCCTTCCATAATGTAAAACACTGCAATCTTATGAGTTTCCCGACTTGAAAATAAGAATTGCAAATTCATGTATTAGTTTTATGGCTCTAAATATTACAGAATGAGAAGACATAAAAAGCTATTCACACAACATACTATTATTGCATCCAATTGGAAACAAAATATTTAATTATTGTTAAATAAAACAAAGAACTCTAGACATTGAATATTGGAAACAAAAACTGAAATTGCTAGAGAAACTCAAGAGGTCTGGCAACATCTGTGGAGAGAGAGCACAGTTAATGTTGAGTCCAGTGACCCTCATTCAGAATCAACTGCATGAAGAATGTCACTGGACTCAAAACATTAACTTTGCTTTCTCTCCACAAATGCTGCCAGACCTGCTGAGTTTCTCCAGTTAGTTGTTATTTAATTCTCATTGCTGGTCAAGTATCACGTTTGTATAGCAACAAACCTTTGACAGATCTGCAGCATTCAGCTGACTTGATCATGCAACAGAAAAACTACACAACCCCAAAAATCGGATATTAGAAGCTAGGAACAAGAAAGTTCAACGAATAGCATGTTATTTTTGAAAATCCAACAGAAAAATAGAAGCCTCATTTATTACATTATGCTGAAAAATGGAAGATAGTCATACGAATTCTCCAAATTAAGCTTATTGGTACCATCAATTTAGAACGTTTCTACTGCTTCACAATATTTAGAACTGAGTATCTGCATATTAACTAAAATCCCTCATTGCATATTATGATACCAAAACATTATGCTTTAATTCAGACCAATTAATAACTCAATAGTTAATAAGATCATTTTGAAATAACTAGCTCTTTCATGATTAGCAAATTCATGAATAGTTTCATTATTCGATTGACGAAGTTTCTGGTGAATACATTTGATCAATTGGTAGACTACTTGCTTTCTGAATTGAACTGGTGTTTGATTTGCTGAATTATTCAAGGTCATACAAAAGGAAACTCAACAGAAAATTCAAAATAAATCAACCATGAAAATAAGCTTAATTTTGCAATCAGTGCCAATGCAACAGTGCTCACCACCAGGTACTGCTGAGAGATCAAGTGCTCTCTTTGGTGAGATTTCATCTCTAGTGCCATGCAGCGGTACTGTAAGTGACTGCAGCTTTCTTCAATGGACATTCATTGTGTGAACAGGAGTGATGATATTGGGCTCTGGGATCAACCATAGAGCTCTCTAACACGAAGGAAACAGCACCAAAATGAAATCACTTAATTTTTTTTTAAAAACAGACAAAACTAAAGATCTGAACACATGCGGGACACAGAAAGAAGTTATATGTTCAGATTTTTTAAAACTAAAAGTTAACTAGAGGCATTCCACCATTACAAAGTGACCTGGTAAACACAGTGCAACTTTTAAAACGTTTTTCAAATGGTAATGTGGGGCAGAGAGGTGACATTGTCAATAGTTATTGATTGTGGCCAGCTAGGCAAATGCCTCTTTATAGATAAGGCGATGGGGACATTGGTGAACCCAAGAGCACTGCGAGCGGAGTTGCCAAGAGGTCTGTAGCCACGTGAACTGCACCACTTTTGCTTTCACCTTCGCAGAAGTGGAATACTGATGCAGGAGAACCTCAAGCTCAAGGTAAATACCTGCCAACTGTGTCCAGCACACGCCATGAAAAAAAAGCCTCCAGGTAAAAGATGAAATTCAGGAAAAAGCGTGTCCAAGGAATACCTAACATTGGATATGGGACAGTTGGCTAAATTACAGGCGTGAACTAGAAAATGCAAGAAGGTTGTTCACCCTGATCTCAGAGCAGTGAGTGACTATCCACAGCTCTGGAATTTCCATGCTGATTTGCCTGTGGTAAACATCCTTCTGTCACTGTTAACATGACCACAATTCCTCTACCAGCAGCCTTGCAAAATTTGGCTACAGGTAACTAGACCACAGAGGAGCATCAGGGTTCCAAAGAATAACTGTGACTGGAACATTCATACCTTTAAATCAGAAAAGGTGCATTTTATTTGTTCTCCTCTCCAGTTTCTCAAAGCTGGTTCCTTTTGTCCCTCACAGAAATGGCTTCATCAATGAGACTCTGCAGACCTATTTTTTCATCTACCTATTCAGAGATGCTATTATACACCTCTACAGCAGGCGGGTCTTGAACCCATGCTTCCTGGTCCAGAGGTAGGGACTCTACTCCTGTGCCACAAGAGGGCCCCTTGAGACTCCAATGAATGGCAGTAAGCCTTTCAAAAATACAGGAATCATTACAATGAAGCCAATTAACACTGAATGATTTCCATTCAAGACTCTTTCAGCAGTGATTGATAACGATCAGGAGCAGGAAGTACATCAATCTCAAGCCTCCACCCCAATGTCAATGTTTTAAGGCTAAATGTAACAATTAAAATCTCAGGTGGAAGATACAGTGCCATACTTTTTCTTTGTAACTTCAGTAAAAAAGGCTCCTTTATTTTAGTGACAACAAGGTGCAGGGCTGGATGAACACAGCAGGCCAAGCAGCATCATAGGAGCAGAGAGGCTGACGTTTCGGGCCTAGACCCTTCATCAGAAAAGGGGGTGGGGAAGGGGGTTCTGAAATAAATAGGGAGAGAGTGGGAGGCGGAAAGACGATGGATAGAGGAGAGGATAGGTGGAGAGGAAACAAACAGGTCGAAGAGGCGGGGATGGGGCCAGTAAAGGTGAGTGTAGGTGGGGAGTTAGGAAGGGGATAGGTCAGTCCAGGGAGGGCGGACAGGTCAAGGGGGCGGGATGAGGTTGGTCGGTAGGAAATGGAGGTGCGGCTTGAGGTGGGAGGAGGGGATAGGTGGGAGGAAGAACAGGTTAGGGAGGCAGGGACGAGCTGGACTGGTTTTGGGATGCGGTGGGGGAGGGGAGATTTTGAAACTTGTGAAATCCACATTGATACCATTGGGCTGCAGGGTTCCCAAGCGGAATATGAGTTGCTGTTCCTGCAACCTTCGGGTGGCATCGTCGTGGCACTGCAGGAGGCCCAGGATGGACATGTCGTCTGAGGAATGGGAGGGGGAGTTGAAATGGTTCGCGACTGGGAGATGCAGTTGTTTAGTGCGGACCGAGCGTAGGTGTTCTGCAAAGCGGTCCCGGAGCCTCCGCTTGGTTTCCCCGATGTAGAGGTAGCCACACCGGGTACAGCGGATGCAGTATACCACATTGGCAGATGTGCAGGTGAACATCTGCTTGATGTGGAAAGTCTTCTTGGGGCCTGGGATGGGGGTGAGGGAGGAGGTATGGGGGCAGGTGTAGCACTTCCTGCGGTTGCAGGGAAAAGTGCCGGGTGTGGTGGAGCTGGAGGGGAGTGTGGAGCGGACAAGGGAGTCACGGAGAGAGTGGTCCCTCCGGAAAGCAGATAAGGGTGGGGAGGGAAAGATGTCTTTGGTGGTGGGGTCGGATTGCAGATGGCGGAAGTGTCGGAGGATGATGCGTTGGATCCAGAGGTTGGTGGGGTGGTACGTGAGGACGAGGGGGATTCTTTTTTGGTTCTAATTGCGTGGATGGGATGTGGCAGACACGGTTGAGGGCGTTCTCGACCACCGGGGCGGGGGGGCAGGGGAAGAGTTACGGTCCTTGAAAAACGAGGACAACTGAGATGTACGGGAGTGGAATGCCTCATCCTGGGAGCAGATGCAGCAGAGGCAAAGGAATTGGGAATAGGGGATAGCATTTTTGCAGGAAGGTGGGTGGGAGGAGGAGTATTCTAGGTAGCTGTGGGAGTCGGTGGGCTTGAAATGAACATCGGTTTCTAGGTGGTTGCCCGATATGGAGACAGAGGTCCAGGAAGGGGAGAGAGGTATTAGAGATGGTCCAGGTAAATTTAAGGTTGGGGTGGAAGGTGTTAGTGAAGTGGATGAACTGTTCGAGCTCCTCGTGGGAGCACGAGGCGGCGCCGATACAGTCATCAATGTAACGGAGGAAGAGGTGGGGTTTAGGGCCGGTGTAGGTACGGAAGAGGGATTGTTCCACGTAACCTACAAAGAGGCAGGCATAGCTTGGGCCCATGCGGGTACCCATGGCTACCCCCTTTGTCTGTAGGAAGTGGGAGGAATTGAAAGAGAAGTTGTTGAGGGCGAGGACGAGTTCGGCTAAGCGGATGAGGGTGTCAGTGGAGGGGGACTGGTCGGGCCTGCGGGACAGGAATAAGCGGAGGGCCTTAAGGCCATCTGCATGGGGAATGCAGGTGTAGAGGGACTGGACGTCCATGGTAAAGATGAGGTGTTGGGGACCGGGGAATTGGAAGTTCTGGAGGAGGTGGAGGGCGTGGGTCACGCTTGGGAACCCTGCAGCCCAATGGTATCAATGTGGATTTCACAAGTTTCAAAATCTCCCCTCCCCCACCGCATCCCAAAACCAGTCCAGCTCGTCCCTGCCTCCCTAACCTGTTCTTCCTCCCACCTATCCCCTCCTCCCACCTCAAGCCGCACCTCCATCTCCTACCGACCAACCTCATCCCGCCCCCTTGACCTGTCCGTCCTCCCTGGACTGACCTATCCCCTGCCTAACTCCCCACCTACACTCACCTTTACTGGCCCCATCCCCGCCTCTTCGACCTGTTTGTTTCCTCTCCACCTATCCTCTCCTCTATCCATCTTCTTTCCGCCTCCCACCCTCTCCCTATTTATTTCAGAACCCCCTTTCCCTCCCCCTTTTCTGATGAAGGGTCTAGGCCCGAAACGTCAGCCTCTCTGCTCCTATGATGCTGCTTGGCCTGCTGTGTTCATCCAGCCCTGCACCTTGTTGTCTCGGATTCTCCAGCATCTGCAGTTCCTACTATCTCCTTTATTTTAGTAATCTATTTGCGTCAGAAATATAACTATGGAAATTTTCTGAACACAGACATTTTTGAAGCAGTGGCTTGTTGAGTTTGAGGTTTTTTTGGTTCATTGCTTCAGATTTTTTGAATTTAATTATCCAGTTCTTTACGAAAAGAACGCACAACTATAAACTGTATAATTCAACAACATGACATACCCATGTTTTTACCAATGTTGGTAGTTTCCAAAATCAGCCAATTGCTACATCTGTCACACCATGCAGCTACTATATCATTGTGAACAGCATCCTTAAACAGGAAGCCAAGTTAGTGCCTGGATGCCATTTATCTATTGAACATGACGGAAAGAGGGAAGAAAATGTATTATACCTTGCACAGATGATGTACTGGGTTATGTGTTCCCTTTTCATTCATATCAATACTGGCTGAAATTTGTAAACAAACTACAAAGTCACGTGCCAACAATAAACATACAATTCAAGGTGATTTTTGTCATCTCAAAGTAGACCACGGCAGATAAAAAGCACGTGGTGAGAAAATAATGACTTTTTAAAGTGGATTCAGGTGCATTTGCACAGTTACTATGTTTCTCATCCAGTAAGGAATGAAGCTCCGCTTGACCTGGTTTTGCACAAAGAGAAATCATAATTTGGTTTGATGAGGTACCAACATGAAAAAGAAAATAGGATATAAAGTTAACAGAAATATGCCAAACCAGAAGAGATGTTTAGAACACAGAAAACAAGGAAACATTTTGCAGATGGGAATGGTTTTGAGAGTGGTGCTTTCAGTTGTCCTCCTTGTAGCACTCCTATTTATTAATTACATAATTCATCTGGATTTACAAACTGAAGGAACAATATTGGATGGGTGGATGAGAGTGGATGAATTTGAGGCAAATAGCAAATTGCAACAAAATATTAAAAAACTACAATAGGTCACAGGCTAGCAGAATGAACAAATTGCAATTTAATGTGCAGGCAGGCCCAGGTTGCTATTGGGTTTGATTCTGAAGTCTGTTCACAAGTCTATTCATAGGCAAGTTGCAACATAATGCAGGATAACACAAAGTAGGCATTCCCAAGTACAGGAAATGTTCAGATCTTTAAAATTACATCTCTGTACGGGATCCCATTTGTAATTACAAGTGTTTGTAAATTGGACATTGATAAATTGGGGATCCACTGTATAGAAAAATGTAGTAGTAAATTATACATGCATAGAGTTAAGGGGGTAGATTTTAAATGAATCAGAAAAGGAATAGCAGTGACAAAAACAGAAATTGATGGAAAAACTCAGCAGATCTGGCAGCATTCTTGGAGAGAAGCAGAGATAATGTTTCAGGTCCAGTGACCCTTCTTCAGAACTGATGGGTTTTTTTTAATGCAGAAGACAGGGTGTAGGGGAAGGCGTAAACAATAGGTGTAGATAGAGCCCAGAAACAGAAAAACAGTTGGACAGATAAAGGAATAGATAAAGGTCAGCCTGGGAGAATGAAAAGCTGCTAATGAGGATGATTAGTAAGTGACAATGGGTTGTGTGTGGTAGTAGCCCTTGTGATGACAATACCTAGTGTGTGGGAGTTGGGCTAAGGATGTGGGAGAAGGTGCACAAGCAGTAAAATTGTTGAACTCGATATTGAATCCACAGGGCTGCAGGGTCCCTGGGGGAAAATGAGATACTACTATTCCAACTCGCACGGAGCTTCAAAGCACTGCAGCAAGCCTGAGACAGAGATTTTGGCTAATGAACATGGTAGTGTTGAAGTGGTAGACAACTGGATGCTTAAGCTCATAGTTGGGGACAGAAAGTAGGTATTCTGCAAAGCAGTCACCCAGTCTGAGATTTTTTAAGTAACTGAATTAAATGTAGCTTGTAGTGATTTGCCCATAACACCATACATTAAAAAAGAAACCACAACACAGAACGTGGCAACAACAGATTCATTGTTTAACAATAAGAAAGATGCTTAAGGGAACAATTGGGAATGCAATAAAAGATTGCTAGGATAGAAAGAGGTTTTTTCTTGAAGTTATGAAGATGGTGGCTCAACAAAGTCCAGCAGATATTGTCTACTTAGTCTTCCAAAAGAGGGACCACAGAAGGGGTTTCTCTGTAAAATATGCAATAAATGCTTTCAAAACCTACAACACGATATCCTGTTAAATAATAAACAAAGTCAAAGCCTTTTGAAATGGTGGTTTGGGCAGATAGCATTTCTTTTGAAAGGTAGGTACTTCAGCGAATAACTGATCACCTGGAGTAGTTTTGGTCACTTAATGAGTTAGAGAGGAACCCCACATTCAAATTGATTTGGGTTAATAGGCTGGTTTTGTGCCTCTCCCAGGAGGCCATATTGTTTTGGGTGGGTTGGAGAGTAAATATTGTGATCAACAAGATATCACAATCGTGTGGGACAGATTTGATGAACCATAGTCTTTACTTCGCCATCATTGTGTGCATACATGCTTTTAAAAGGGAAGTTAGATTGCAAATTTAAAATAAAGTATTAAAAGTTCATGAGAAACCAGCAGATAGTTGGCACCAGAATATGCAACAGATATGGAGAATACCACCTGCCAAAACTTGATCAGCCAAATGTCTGCTTCTGTACCAAAGTTATGATTTCTATTTAATTTGAATTCAACTCAGGTGGATTGACCATCACCTTCTTTGTAAAACTTCTGCACAAGAGGGGTTTAAACAATATTTAGCTATTCCTTGCAGGACCAAAGCTCACAGAACAAACAGGACTATAAATTGTATCACATTGTTTCATCAAAGCCAAAACCTCGGCTGCTGGCAGTGAAGATAGACCATATCTGAACGGAATGCTCATTGTGAGACAGGACTTAGAGCTCACAGCGGTGATTGATGAGGTGATACCTGTCAGCAGTACTATTCAAATGTGTGGGGCTTGGTATACTTTGGTCCTGAAGGAAGTAAGGATGGATCAACTGCAAATGTCATTAGATCATCTGGTCAAGTTATCTCTATGAAATCCCCGACCAGATTGCTGTTCAGCTCGAGGAAATGCCAAGTACCTGGATGTGTCTCATTCATCAAGGGCAAGAGGAAGATGGAACTGAGAATCATAAACATATTTGAGGAGTCACCAATTAGTGCTCTGTTTAGCTGGGCAAACAGACACACCACTGGTTTCCACAGACAGACCTAACTGTAGGGCAACTGACTGCAACAAAGTATCAGTAGCTTCTTCACCCCTTTCTTCTAAACAAAAGTCTGCAGTGATGACATCATCATTTGTTATAGCAGCTTTCAACATAGTCTGATGGTTTCGAAAACTACGCTTACTGAGGAAACATTTAATTGGTCGAACCACTCGTTTATGTAACACCATGACACCCATCATGTGTGTGAAGACAGTTACCTGGTCTGATCTCATTAGGTGAGGACCAAACAGCAATGTGGAGTCTTCGCGTCAGCAGATTTGCAGATCACAATGGTGTCTGAACTATAGTGCTGTACCTACACTGTCGGTTGATAAGTTGCAGCCACTGTAGGCCCATTATATTCTTCAGTGAGAATGACATCTCTCTATTCTTGTCAACAGGTAGACCATGATGATGGAACCCATCTTTTAGCAAAAGGATTTCCTGAGAAATGGCCATCATATGGATCCTCATATCTTTCATCTGGTTTTCTGAAGTCAGCCAGATTTAAGCACTGGACAACTATGACCTGGAAACCATGCCACAGGCAAATAAGTCTGTCATACTAAAACAAGTAATGTTAATATTTTACAGAGTTGAGAGATACATTGGAGCAGAAATTCACCAACTGCCCAAGTGTCAGGTACAATGTTCACCTTTGGTTGAGTACTGAATTCTGGAGAAGTGCGGTCATTTTCTCTCTGAATCAATACATAGGGTATTCTTGATCTTCTGCTCTCAGGTGAGGCCTTCAATGAGGAAGGTTGAAAAGTTGTAATCAAGTGTCAAAGTGTAGATTAGCTTCTGATACTGAAGGTGAAATGAATTGACTGCCTCAATCCTTCCTCAGTGTCACTGTTTCAGTGTTCCAAGCATGTCTGCCATAGTTCCAGGGCTTACTGCTGTGTATTACTGCGGGCTATGTAGAGATCAACATCTGAGTATTATATACTGCATCAACTCATTTTTTTTTGTTTGATCAGATACACAGAGGCTGCTGCCATGCCAAATAGGTTGCGTTTACCTTCAAGTTGACATTTAAAATGGATTACAGTATCAGTGTTCATGTGAAAACAAACAAATGCAACCACAAAACCCAACTGTTGAAGCAATACAAAATGGCTGCAGCCTCATGAGATTGGGCTCCCAGCCACAAGAGGGCATTAAAATAAAATGGTAAAGTTTTAATACAAGCAATTAATCATTAGTTGTGGAATGTGACAGCAATACAAACAGAATTCAATTCTGAACGTAAGGATATCTAGTTTAATTTCTACACTGACAAAAAACATGACTATATTCCAGAATTCTTAGAATTAAATATTCCAAAACACAAAAAATTAGCCAGCTGCATACAATTCAGCACAAACGATTTCAAAACAATATTCCTGAAATACTTTTACAGATTGAACATGATTATGATGATAGGAAGATCGCTAGAAGGTGAATTCAAGTCCAAGCTGAAGGTTTCTGAATTCGTAAGCAGCACTATCTATTTATTACAGAAATAACCAAAATGAAACATGCCACAAGCACCAGTTTTATTTTCACAAGCACTAATGCATCATTTAGAGATTTACATTCAGAAGTATCTTGCACATTCTAAAAAAAAATCTCCGGCATAGAAGACAGCAGTTTGGATTTGAAATCCATGCAAGTCTCCAACAATTCAAAAGTACAGGGCAGCAGCATCTGTCATTAAACTTGAAGTTGAAGCTATCTTGTGTGGGATTTAACTGAACTTTTTCATAAAACTATTGCAGAGAAGCCCAATGCAAAGTAATGAAATGCTGTTTTAACACTAGCTTTTAATATCACATCCACTGTAATTTGTACAATTGTCAATATTTACCAGTTCATAAATAGCACAATCAAAAATACTCACCACTGTCTTGAGTCCAAATTTTTAAGTTCCCTTAATAGTTTTGAGTTTTTCTTCAGAAGATGAAAACTATTCCTTGGGAAAAAAAACAAGTAGGAATATCTTAGAATCAAAATGAAACATGCCACAAGTACCAGCTTTATTTTCACAAGCACTAATGCATCATTTAGAGATTTACATTCAGAAGTATCTTGCACATTTTTAAAAAAAATCTCCGGCATAGAAGACAGCAGTTTGGATTTGAAATCCATGCAAGTCTCCAACAATTCAAAAGTTCACGGCAGCAGCATCTGTCATTAAACTTGAAGTTGAAGCTATCTTGTGTGGGATTTAACTGAATTTTTTCATAAAACTATTGCAGAGAAGCTCAATGCAAAGTAATGAAATGCTGTTTTAACACAAGCTTTTAAGAATGGTAAAGCTTGGCAAACTGACAAATGCCTTTGGGCATTTCACGGGATCATTATCAAAGAAAATCTGACACCAAGCCTTGTAAAGAGATATTAGGACAGATGGCCAAATGTTTGATCAAAGTTATCGTTTTTAAGGTGCATTTTCAATGAACAGAGAAGGGTGGAGAAGGTGAGAACATTTGAGACAAAATTTCATACCTTAGATTCTAGGCTGGTGAAGGCTACCAATGTAGGATGATTAAAATCAGGCATGCATAAAACACTAGAATTGGAAAAGAATTTGAGAAAATCCAAAGATGTAAGACTGGAGGAGATTCGGCAGTTGGGGCAAGGGCAGGCCACGAAAGGCTTTGAAAGCTACGAGGAAAATTTAACATCAAAGGGACAGGGAAGCCGTAAGTTCTTGTCAAACAGAGCTAATTATCAAGTAGAACTGATTATTGGGTGGGACTTGGCGCAGAGCAAGATATGCGTCAATACCTGGTAGTTGTACAATGTCTCCAGCACAGTTTTGCATCTGAACCTTGTTTCGTGGCTGATTTGAAAGTCATTGGAATTATTAACATGAAGGTGACAAAGGTGCGTATGAGAATTTGAGAGTTTTGACAGAAAACAGAGGAAGAGAGAGAGGTAGCATTATTGTGTTAGAAATATGGTGCTTTTAGTAATGAAGGGGCAAGAACACATTTTAGGAGTGGAGAGGAAAGGTGTTTTTAAGTGAATTGGTAGTTTGCAAGGAGATAGGGATCAAAAGCGGGTATGAGTATGACAGCAGATTTGAAGAGAAGCGGAATAATATCCATGGGAGGAAGGATTGCTAATAAAATAAAAATAGGTTTTTATAAATGCCTTGCAATCAAGTTGGAAACATATAGATAATGAAAGACAAACAAATTAACTCAATTAAATTTGATTTATTTTCTTACTGCCATTATTTAATTTCAAATCAGCTAGTTCAGCTTTAAAGGCAGAGATTTTGATAAAAATGCTTCACACCTACATCCTTAAATTTCTTGAATTTTCCAATGAGAATTGGCTGACTACTTTGAGTATTGACCCTCAGCTAATGCTTAAAAACGCCCCGGGATGTAAAAAAACAGTAAATTATATTAATTTGGATTTAAGTGAGCTTCTGTCAGAAAGCATAAAAAGTCAACAAAATTACATGCTCTCTGACAAAGTTTAGCTGATAAGCATTCAACTATTGTCCAAGTTTCTCAGACACCTCAGCTCTCCTTTGAACTTAATTTTTCAAGACGACTCAAGAAAAAGCAAGTGTTAACCCATTTACAGTTATCTAACTCATCAGTTACAGGGTGACAGGTTGAATCTAGTTGACTCACTTAATTGAGACTTCATTAAGGTGAAGACTCTGTACTCAAACTGTGTGCAGCTAATTGATGAGAAAAGTTTGCAATGGGATTAAATAGATGGAGTCAAAGAAATGTATAAAATGGATTTTAGAATAGATACTTCAGAATTCAACAAGATGTGGCTAGCCATGAAGCCAGCCAACTTGAAACCTGCAAGTCAATCAATTCTCTGGTCATTCAAGTGAGACCAACTCCCCCAACAAGTGTATGTGTAATTATAATTATTAACAGTCTTCATTGCATACTGAATTCTTGGGAAAGCTAAGAAATTCCCATTTTCTAGTGGGAATAACTAAAAACAACTGGATCCTCACGGTTTCAAAATAATTTTTATTTTAATTTCTCCTATATATACTTGCTCTTCTATATATGCATTCAGGAAAAATAGGAAAGGAAGAAGGGTGGTGTTATTCATTAAGGAGACTACTGTAATGCTGGAGTGTGTGTTCTAGAAGGTTCAAAACAGAACCTATTTGGCTAGAGAGGGAAGAAAAGGTGCAATTTTATTGTTCAACACAGTTTACAGACTACCAACTGGTAGGGCAGACATAGAGGAACAAATTTCCAAACAAACTGCAGACAGGTGCAAGAATTATAGATTTTACAACAGGGAATTTATTCATATACAGACAGGGGTGTTGTTTGCTTATGGAGAAAGAATCCTACGGTGCTTTCAGGAGAATTTCATACAGAAATTTGTTTAAAATCTAATATAAAATGAGGCATTGCTCGTCTTGATCTGTGGGAATGAGATGAATAAAGAGACAGCAGGGCAATTTAGGTTGGATATGGAAAAGGTCAAGGAACAATACAAAGTAGAAATAATTAATTGGGAGAAAGTCACCTTCAATGGAATTAAAATTGATCTGCCTTAAGTTAACAGTAATCAAAGGTTCACTGACAAAAATGTAACTGACACGAGCTATTTTTAGAGACACATTTTGGCCATAGTCACTGTTATATTTCCAAAAGGGAGAAGATAAGAAAAACAAATTCAGAGCTGTTGGGTGACAAAAAAAAAATGTTGAGATTAGGGGAAAATGTGCATACAACAAGGGCAAGTGAATAACATCATTGAGGACCAGTTTAAATACAAAAATACAATAAAAGTAAAAAATAAAAAAATTAAATACAAAAGATTCAGAAGGAAATTGGAAAAGCAAACAAGGGAAGTAAAGTGAGAGTGTGAGAAAACATTGGCAGTTAACATAAAATACAATCCAAAAGTCAGTGGATATATAAATAGTAAGAGCTGCAAAGAAGAGGAATGGGGTTGATTAAGGATCAAAAAAAGTATTTATGCATGATCGTAGCTGGCTTAACTGAAGCTAAAGAATGTTATACAAATGAAGATGATGCAGTGGATGTCTTACAGAACAAGAAGATGACTTAGACATTTTAAAGGTTTAAATTGATGAGGTATTAGACAGACACTCGTTTGTTTTAGCAGTGGCTGGGGAAGTTACTGCAGACAAGGTGAATGCGTACGAAGAGAGAGTTAGATGACAAGCAAGTAGTTGATTGGTCTGTGGAATAGTGCTCAGCTGTCGATAACAAATGTCTTCTGCCTGCCAACAATGACGTGATTGGCTTCCAGGTAACTGAACAGTTTGAGGCTGTGAATGAGATAGCCAAAAGGCTATGGGAAAGGATGGTTCTCTTCTTTGCCATTAAATAACACCTAAACCTGAAGAAAGCCAGTTATTTTCCCTTACCAGTTACTGTAAGCTGTTGCTTTTAACCAATGTCAGAAACTTTATAATTTGTGAACCAGCGCTCTGTGCCTCCTGGAAGACAGTGAGAAACACTTCAGTGGCAGGGGTGTGGGGGGTGGGGTGAAGAGAGAGCAAGCATGAGAGCGCGACAAACAGCAAATGGTGACAAGCCCAAAGGGATCTCGGTGAGCCCTGTCGAGACCATCGAGCTGTCATTCCAGACTTTGCCTCCACTTGTAACATTTGCGTCTATCAGCATCAGGGAAGATTTTGTTAGGGAAAGCTCATATTTATTTAACTGTAGATAAAATCTATTTATTTGCAATGACTAGTGATCCTTAAGTAGAAAATTTAATTCATGCTTTCTGTCAACCTGAGTCTAAAAGTCAGGTAAATTAGGGAATTTTGCACAGTTGTATAAAATCTTTAACTTTTCTGACAACTCAAAGTTTAGTGAGGCCTGATTTCCAGTGCACCATCCCAGTGAGGTATGATATTAGACAAATATGTGACAGATGAAATTTAATGCAGAGAAGTGTGAAGAGATTAACTTTGGCAGGAATAATGTGGAAAGACAATACAAAATAAAGACTACAATTTTAAAGGGAGTGCAAGAGCAGGGGAACTGGGTGTAGATGTGCATTAATCATTGACAGATTGAGAGCAGTTGACAACACATATGGCATCCTAGGCTTTTCCAAGGAAAGATGAACGCAAGAAAATTATGTTAAACTCACATAAAATGTCAGTTCTGCACTAACTACAATATCGTGTGAAAGCATTACAGAGGGTACAGAAAATATTCGAGAATGAAGTTCATCTTCCCTGGAACGAGTTAAAGAGATCGACTCGAAGAGAAGTTGGCATGTTCTCTTTGGAGAATGAAAGATTGAAAGGTGACTTGACTGAGGCATGCAAAATCATGAAGCCTGGATAGAGGCAAATAGGGAAACTGTTTCCATTGATGAAAGGATCGAAAACCAACAGGAGTATATTTAAAGTTATTAGAAAAGATGCAATGTATGAGTGAAAATATGGTGGGGGCAGGCTCAATGGAGGCATTCAATATGGACTAATTGGACTACCATGTGAAAGGGAAGATGGTGGAGGGAAATGGGGAGAAGGTGGGGAGTGGTACCAGCTGAGTTGTTCCTTCAGAAAGCCAGATCAAAAACAAATGGGCCAAATGTATTCCTTGTCTGCTGTAATCGTTTTTGGTTCCATTCAACTGCTCAGACTCCAGATGAAATTTTAAGCTTTGATGACAATACAGTCAGTTTCCCACAAATGGTTTCACCAATACTGGACATTTACATCAAAATTCTCATACAGTCAATAGAAACAGATAGGAAAAATGGCTGATTTGCTCTGATTTTATTATTTGTACTTAGGTAATTTCTGATAAAGATTACTAGTGATGAAAAACTTAGACCAGAGTTTCTGTAATTTACCACCTGTTCTTTTATTCTTTCATGGCACGTGGGTATTGCTGGCTAGGTCACTATTTATTGTCCATCCCCAATTCGTTCCTTCTTGACCTGCTGTAAAAAACTGAGTGGCTTGATAGGCCATTT